CATTTTGATCTTTTTCAATCCCAGAAGCCTTATTTTTTGCCGGTACTGGGCATGTAATTGGTCGACCGGCTGGCCATGGCCTGACCAGCCTCCGACCGGCTTGACCGGTTCGGCCATGTTGTGGAGACGGAACCAGTTGGACCTGGCAGTGAATGGACCCTTTTGGTACGTAAACGTAGCCGTGGCAGCAGTCCCCAAATGTAGGTTATGTACCCATTAAACATGTCAATGGAGGATTGGAACCAAGAAAAGTGAACTATTGCGGGGGAAGCAAAGTTAAGAACCCCACCTCCTGGTCCCATCTCCTTTGGACTGTGCGAAAGAGCCCGTCCACGCGTCGCATATGACAGCTCCACGAATCTCCGGTGACAGCTTCCACCTAGTCACACCGGAAGGCTGAAGGAAAGGTTTGATGTGTCAGAGCCATATACCAAGTCCATATATCGTAAAAATTCAGTTACTTTGGGGTTGAATATACTTTGCACGCTAACATGTCCATGGACAGGGCATTTGCGTACAGAAAGGAAAGATGTATTCCACCCAGTCTACAGAACATTAATGCACGTCTTTGACCTATCGGTATATGCGGCCAAAAGACTTCTTACGCTGCATGTCCACCGCAGCGCTGTAACACTGCTCGAGGACCTCTAACATGGAAATTGATGACATAAAATGGCTCTTTGTCCCACTCGTGACAATGTAGGAAATGCCAACGTGTTGGCTATTCCACTGCCGAATCTGTTCACTGCTCAGAGCCGATTCTGGAATGCAAAAGCATACCGGCCCTCTTGATCCATCGCTCCAGGACGAGGTTAAGGCCTTGGTAAGTCTGGAGGGCGCCTAACGTAGCTACTGAGCAAGTGCCTGGTATTATGAAACTGTCTTTTACATAATAGGCTTCAGAAACCAATAAAGGGAATAATTACCTTCAATGTACTGAAGAATAATGTATACATATATTATGAAGAGAAAGGACCCAGATAGATACAGACATATAAGATACAGTAAGTTGGTAATGCACTAAATGCACCCTGGTCTTTTAACATAGCTATGGACATGCGGGTGGGTAATACCTTTTCCATACTTTTTATTAACAAGTCCACGGCTACGTTAAGGTTAAATACCAGAACTGGTTCCCCTTAAACCTAGCCACCGTTATGCTCTTGCGAGCACCACGTACCGCATGCCTCTTCTTGTCAAGTTGACGCGGTGCGCGTCTCTTCCTTCCTCGCTTTCCTATGGAACCTCTTTCTTTCCACTGCATCTTGCCATCCCAACTGAAAGCACATCTCCACAGCTGATCAAAATTTAGTACCATGTACGGGTGTACGCCATCTTTCAACAAATCTTGGTAGTGCTCCCGGTACATTTTCATGTCTGGGTGATTGAAAGGTAAACTTGCCTGCTCTGAGGAAGCAGACAACAAGCTCCAACCCCAACTCTTGATGAAATGCTTGCACCATGGCACTGTGACATAATTAAGAGGCTCTGGAGAGGGCAAAAGGACCTTTGAAAGACCTGAGATTGAAAGCTGGCCCTTGGCAAACATTTCCCTGAACTGCGCATTTTGCGCATCGATCAGTGGCTTTGTCTCTGGCAAAGCGTTGTTCCAATTCTCGATCAGAATGTTTGCCGATGTCTCCTTGGAGTAAAAGAGTTTTCACTTGGATGCACTGGTGTTGATGGTTCAGCCGTATGGTGTTGCAAAAACCCTTTAACATAGCTATGGAGTCCTCCTGAGGATACTAGCTACTTGGACTTCCACCCGATGACATGTATACGAATAAATAAACCAAAAACGTGGCCACAGTGGCAGATCGCATGTCCTTCAAACCCGCACCCCCAACCAAAGGTGCTCCATCCTGTTAAATCCGAGGGTCGATGTCTCTCCAAGTCACTACTTCTTTTCGTTCAGTCACCTCCGATTGGCCTAGCACGTGCTCTGCGATGATTCGGTCGAGATCTTTTTGTAGTTCCTCAGGCACGAAACCTCCCACAGGCCTCCCTTTGGCTGGAAGCGCAAACTTCTGACGCCATGCTTTCGGCACTTCGACGAGGCGGCTGCGATCTGAGGCAGGCAACAACTCCCATTTTTCGTCTTCGGCTTGCTTTGCCCATTTGTGTACATGACACGTGCGAACAATGTTTGGTAATTGCCTTTCAACTTCTTTCTGCAGATTCCTTTTCAAGATGTCTTTGGCTTTGGCTCTGTGCTCCAAAAAAGCCTCCCTTTCTTCATTCGTGAGATTTCTAGGAATCCTTTCACGTGCTACTGCTGCTGCCTCGTCCCGGCTTTTTTTCAATTCATTGTACAGCCGCACCGCTTTGAGTTTGTCTTCAATCCAGATCTGCCTACGGGCCTTTGCAGGTTTCTCATCCCACTCTTCGTCCTTCCTGCCTCTCCTCAGCTTTCCTTTCAGAGCCACCTTGCTGTGATAGTTTTGTCTTCTTCGCTTCCTGACAAAGATAGCTTGGGGACAACCGCATTTAACATAGACATGGCCCAGCCGAGAATGCACACGTGAACAGCTAACCATCAGCTGGTGGATCTGCAATGGAAAATAAACATTTAATATAGCGCTGAATTACCATATTTATATTGATGTGCATGTATGATCCAAAAGATGGACCCTCCAGCCATCCTAGAGCAGTCAAGCGTCTTGATTTTCGCAGGATCCTGATTGCTGAATTTCTCAAGTCTTTGCTTCTCGTCTTCTTCCTTCTTTTTTGCTTTTCCGGCAAGTTGATCAAGAGAGGCACTCTGTTTCTCCAAATTCTCTTCAGTTGCTTTCAAATGCTGTCTGAGTTGCGCCAGCTTCTCTGTCACAGCCTCAAGGCAATCTGGAAAACTGAGCATGTTGTCCTGGAAAACCTCGGGAATGTCGCCCAACTTGGGAAGAGCATCGGCTGGGAAAGCAGTCATGAAATAGTCTGGCCAAGACATGGCTGGGTCTTTTTTGCTGCCATGTGTTGCAACATCTATGATGTAAGAAAGGATTGTTTTCCAGAGCTCGACTGCCTCTTTGGTGCTTTCCAAGTCTTGAGTCAATCCAGACACTTGTCCCTCAAGTTTGCTTGTCATGCCCTCCAACCTTGCTTTCTTCCTCGCATGCGTGTCCACCTGCCTCTGCAACAAGGTCCTGAAAGGCTTGGAGCATTTTGACAGACAAGAGATACAATAAGAACTGTTCTTAACCTAAACATGGAGCTGGGCCGACTGCATACGTTGCATCTCTTACCCGTACCCCGAAAAGCCTTAACATAGCTATGCGCCGTGGACCTGTGGTAGGGTAAATGTTAGTATACTGAGATAATGGTTCAGGCCCCCAGAATAACGGAATTCAAACCTCTCCTCTTGTTGCTCAACTTGGCTTGGGCTGACTGCATACGTTGCATGTCTTACCCGTACCCAGAAAATCCTTAACATAGCTATGCGCCGTGGACCTGTGGTAGGGTAAATGTTAGTATACTGAGATAATGGTTGAGGCCCCCAGAATAACGCAATTCAAACCTCTCCTCTTGTTGCTCAACTTGGCTTCCACGACTGCCTTGTGTTTCTCACCTGCTTCGTGCTGATCAACCTTTTTCTGGTAGTCTTCTGAGTGCAAGAGCCCCAGTGGCAAAGATCCCAACTTGCCATTTGGCACGATGAACACAGAATCAGGTTTGGCATCCACCTGATCATTTTTTTGAAACTCATGGAACACGATGGTGATGTTCTCAAAGTCAGGGCGGTCGTGGACTTTGTTGTTGCTCAGAGGTCTGGATGTGGGAAGGATAAAAACGTAGATCCCCGTCTTTGGATGCGACCCACGTGAAGGGTCAAGGTTGTTCGGAATCTTTGCCACAACCTCCCCACGGGGAAAAAACTTGGGAAAAACACCATTAACATAGCCATCAGTCTATGGTTGGGTGGCTTGTATCCCAGCAGGATTCTTGTAAAGCTGTCATCATAGTTGCATATGCCTAGTGGTACTTTAACATGGCTACGGTCATCCTTAATTGATTAGCTTTTTGGCTATATTTGTGATCAAACACATGCCTTCTTTGCAATTACAACCAAATGCTATGAAGCTGCCCTGGGGTAATTTAAAATAGCTATGGAGAACAAATCATATATATATATAATGTGTATATTGTATACATAAAATATATATATATATATAATTGTTTCTTTAGGTATTCCTTGGTCCAGTGTCCATAGCTATGTTAAAAGCCCCTCTGATACAACATGGTTTGGCAGTACCAGGCCTGAGATATGTCTCCAGCGAAGGTATCAAAGGTGAAGATTCCGCCAACAGGGTTGTTTTTCAATTGGATGCTAGCATGCTTCCAAAAGAGTGTTTCGTCCTCGAAGTAATCTCCCATCATCAGGCAACACAACCGGGGCCTGGACTTTTTGTACATCCTGCAAGCATCTTCTCCCAGAACCCCGACATAGTTTTCAAGCCTCTTTTTCTCTGCAGTGTCTGGAAGAGTTTCCACCTGCTTGAACTTGTTCAGCGCAACAGCTGGAACAACCAGATCACAGTGCATGAAACGATCATGTGCACTTACATTTTGTTCCGCACCCTTTCCAGGCATGTCAAGAGCATCTTTCCCATACATGTCAGTTATATCCTGATTTTCATCTTGCTTTTCTCCCTCCTGATTTGGTGTTTTACTGGAGCTACCTTTTTCTGCTTCCTTGCTTGGGTGGGAACCCCCAGAAGAACTTGGCTGAGCAGGATCGACCGATTCGGATGGGTCTGCCACAGGCTCATTTTTCAAACCAGGATCTGCCACAGGCTCAGTTGTGAAACCAGGATCTCCACCACCATATTGCGAAGACTTTTCGATGTCTTCCTTCAATTGGTTGTCACCTGAAGGGAATCTGTCACTCCAATAGACAATAACATGGCTACTGGCCCGCTATTGGATGTGTCCGGGGCATTGTTTTTATTAAAACTGATGCAGGTGATATACATGGTAAATATACCTGATTGAAGCAAAATTGATTCAGAACTGCCGGAAGCTTGTTAACATAGCCGTGCTGATGACATGTGTATAGATTTTTTTTGTGTCCCCATACACTTCGAAAGGGCATTAACATAGCTATGCACTGTGCAGAGACGTATGAGACAAAACAAAATGATAGGTACCACATAACTATTCACCAAAAATGGGAAAAACACTGTTATGGTGCTTTTTGAATCTTTCTCAATCCAAATAATGGTCAACAAAGCTATGGCACATCCGAAGGTAGCCACAGAAATGGTAGATTGAGCTGTTGTGTGGATTTTCGAACAACAAAATGTTAAAAACTATTTTCTATATACGTTTGTCTGCTGTAGTCTCTGGTAGTTGCCAATGTCAAGGCAGTTTAACCTAGCTATCGTCTGGCCCTACATGGCCAGCATTTACCCCAGTGCAGCATAGACTTGTTTACAGAACTCTCTCCCAAGGGACTCTACTCTCTTCAGGAGTGCTTGTAAGTGACAGTGATCAATGCCAGTTTTTTTAACATAGACTTTCTGATTAAATTTCTCGCAGCTGCACATCAAAAAAGCTGGGTCCCCAACAGTTCTGGAAGATGATAGCATCGACAAAATCAGCTTTGCGTCTCGACTTGACCTTGACTCCGAAGACCTGCGCTCTTTCCCGAAGTTCTGCGGCCGTCATGGTGCGCGTGATGTCCACCTCGAAGTTGCGCTTCTGGATCAAGCAGAGAGCGATGTCGGCCGCAATTTTCGTAGATGTGAAGGCCTGCCGAAATTATTTAGATAGAATGCACAGCACAATCTGTATCTGGGAACTTATCCTCCTAACATAGCTATCCAACAGGAGGAAAAACATACATTTGTGTCATTTCCAAGAAACTTCATCGTAAACTTTCAATGGTTTCAGGTCTCTCGGCATTTCAATTACGAAGTAGCCAGGTTGTCGGTCCCAACCACTAAGTGAATCTAGCGTCTCTTCTTGCTCTTTTGAAATACCTTTCCTCCATTCGTATGTGGGGTCTGTGTCTTCCTGTGGCTGACCTTCCTCTTCTGCTGCCTTGCCTTCATGCTGTTCTTGTTCTGGTTGCTTTTGCTGTGAAGTGTCTGCTTGTGGTACATCTGCTTGTGGTGCATCAGCTTCTGCTTGCTGTTGCTCGGGAGCGGTGCCTGGGATCTCTTGTTGCTCTGGCACCTGCGGCTGGCTGACCTGCTTCTCAGATGCTGCTCCATGCTTTGCCTCAAGCTGTTCTTGTTCTGGTTGCTTTTGCTGTGAAGTGTCTGCTTGTGGTACATCTGCTTGTGGTGCATCAGCTTCTGCTTGCTGTTGCTCGGGAGCGGTGCCTGGGATCTCTTGTTGCTCTGGCACCTGCGGCTGGCTGTCCTGCTTCTCAGATGCTGCTCCATGCTTTGCCTCAAGCTGTTCTTGTTCTGGTTGCTTTTGCTGTGAAGTGTCTGCTTGTGGTACATCTGCTTGTGGTGCATCAGCTTCTGCTTGCTGTTGCTCGGGAGCGGTGCCTGGGATCTCTTGTTGCTCTGGCACCTGCGGCTGGCTGACCTGCTTCTCAGATGCTGCTCCATGCTTTGCCTCAAGCTGTTCTTGTTCTGGCTGCTTTTGCCGTGAAGTTTCTACAGCTTCTGCTTGCTGCTGCTCGGGAGCGGTGCCTGGGATCTCTTGTTGCTCTGGCACCTGCGGCTGGCTGACCTGCTTCTCAGATGCTGCTCCATGCTTTGCCTCAAGCTGTTCTTGTTCTGGCTGCTTTTTCCGTGAAGTTTCTACAGCTTTTGCTTGCTGCTGCTCGGGAGCGGTGCCTGGGATCTCTTGTTGCTCTGGCACCTGCGGCTGTCCGACCTGCTTGTCAGATGTCGCCACATGCTTTGCCTCATGCTGTTCTTGTTCTGGCTGCTTTTGCTGTGAAGTGTTTGCATCAGCTTTTGGCTGCTGCTGCTGCTGTTGCTGCGCATGAACGTTCTCCTTCTCTTGGGTAGCTTGTTCGTTGTTCTCTGGAGATTGTGTATCCTGTTGTTGCCCTTTCTGCTGATGCTCTCCTTCAGAATGAACTGTGCTTGGGGACTGTGCTTGTTCTTCACCTTCTATGTTCTGCATTTCTTTCAACCTGTCACAACCTTGGCTTAACATAGCTACCGGCCCCACCTGGATGCCTTCCCAATGGATGCTTCTATGCACACGAAGTGCTGTACAAAGGAACAATCAGAAAGTGAGCGTGGCAAAAATTAAGGATATGACATGATCTGTGCACCATCAAATTCTTCAAACTCTCTTTGGACTTCGCTTTGATTTTGTAGGCATTGCCAAGAGCTCGCAAGGACCCCATCTCCGTTCGGCTGAATTTCTGATCTTCCAAGTCCCGATGGCGTAGCAACTTCACCAAACACCGCGCTTGGTAGACTGGGTCTTTAAAAGCCTGGGGGCTTTTTGATGGTAAAATGCAGCTAACCTAGCCATTGGCATGGTTGCAGGGGATTGCCATTCCAAACAATCAACACAATAGAAGGGAATTGCGTAATTTGGACTCTATGTCGAAGATCTGTAGTACCATTGGGAAGTCACCTGTGACTAGGGTATCCTTTCAACATGGCCACTGACCTTGAAAAGGAGTATTTTTAAACATGGCTATTGAGCTGCCTCCAGGGGGTTGCAAAGCCAAGGAACCACAAGGATATCCATACTGTTCCCGACCAAAGCCATGATATATTTTGTTGATCACCTCTCTTTCATTAGAGAGAGCATTTTGTAACATTTCGGATGTTCAGAAAAGGAACGCATCATTTGAACATATTTGGTATCCATGTTGGGGATCTGTATTACTATTAGGAAGTCACATATGAATAGGAAGGTTTTTAAACATAGCTACTGCGCTGCCTCCAGGGGATTGCCAAGCCAAGAAGCCACAACGATATCCATACTGTTTCTGGCCAAAACCATGAGCAATTTTTTTGATCATATCTCTTTCATTAGAGAGAGCCTTTTGCAACATTTTGGGTTCTCAGAAAGGGGATTCATCATTTGAACATATTTTCAATCCATGTTGGGGATCTGTAGTACTCTTGGGAAGACACCTATGAATAGCCTGAAAAAGAATGTTAGGGATGTTTTTAAACATAGCTATTGAGCTGCTTCCAGGGCGTTGCTAAGCCACAACGATATCCATACTGTTTCTGGCCAAAACCATGAGCAATTTTTTTTGATCACATCTCTTTCATTAGAGAGAGCCTTTTGTAACATTTTGGGTGCTCAGAAAGGGAATTCATCATTTGAACATATTTTCAATCCATGTTGGGGATCTGTAGTACTCTTGGGAAGTCACCTATGAATAGGCTGAAAAAGAATGTTAGGGATGTTTTTAAACATAGCTATTGCGCTGCCTCCAGGGGATTGCCAAGCCAAGAAGACACAACGATATCCATACTGTTTCTGGCCAAAACCATGACCAATTTTTTTTGATCACAGAAAGGGGATTCATCATTTGAACATATTTTCAATCCATGTTGGGGATCTGTAGTACTCTTGGGAAGACACCTATGAATAGCCTGAAAAAGAATGTTAGGGATGTTTTTTAAACATAGCTACTGAGCTGCCTCCAGGGGATTTGCCAAGCCAAGAAGCCACAACGATATCCATACTGTTTCTGGCCAAAACCATGACCAATTTTTTTTGATCACATCTCTTTCATTAGAGAGAGCCTTTTGTAACATTTTGGGTGCTCAGAAAGGGAATTCATCATTTGAACATATTTTCAATCCATGTTGGGGATCTGTAGTACTCTTGGGAAGTCACCTATGAATAGGCTGAAAAGAATGTTAGGGATGTTTTTAAACATAGCTACTGCGCTGCCTCCAGGGGATTGCCAAGCCAAGAAGCCACAACGATATCCATACTGTTTCTGGCCAAAACCATGACCAATTTTTTTTGATCACATCTCTTTCATTAGAGAGAGCCTTTTGCAACATTTTGGGTTCTCAGAAAGGGGATTCATCATTTGAACATATTTTCAATCCATGTTGGGGATCTGTAGTACTCTTGGGAAGACACCTATGAATAGCCTGAAAAAGAATGTTAGGGATGTTTTTTAAACATAGCTACTGAGCTGCCTCCAGGGGATTGCCAAGCCAAGAAGCCACAACGATATCCATACTGTTTCTGGCCAAAACCATGGCAATTTTTTTTGATCACATCTCTTTCATTAGAGAGAGCCTTTTGTAACATTTTGGGTGCTCAGAAAGGGAATTCATCATTTGAACATATTTTCAATCCATGTTGGGGATCTGTAGTACTCTTGGGAAGTCACCTATGAATAGGCTGAAAAAGAATGTTAGGGATGTTTTTTAAACATAGCTACTGAGCTGCCTCCAGGGGATTGCCAAGCCAAGAAGCCACAACGATATCCATACTGTTTCTGGCCAAAACCATGACCAATTTTTTTTGATCACATCTCTTTCATTAGAGAGAGCCTTTTGTAACATTTTGGGTGCTCAGAAAGGGAATTCATCATTTGAACATATGTTCAATCCATGTTGGGGATCTTTAGTACTCTTGGGAAGTCACCTATGAATAGGCTGAAAAAGAATGTTAGGGATGTTTTTAAACATAGCTATTGCGCTGCCTCCAGGGGATTGCCAAGCCAAGAAGACACAACGATATCCATACTGTTTCCGACCAAAACCATGACCAATTTTTTCTGATCACATCTCTTTCATTTCAGGGAGCATTTTTTAACATTTTGGGTGCTCAGAAAGGGAAATGCATCATGTGACCATTTTTGGAATCCATGTTGGGGATCTGTAGTACTCTTGGGAAATCACCTGTGAATAGGAATGTTAGGGTCTTTTTTAAACATGGCTACTGAGCTGCCTCCAGGGGTTGCAAAGCCAAGGAACCACAAGGATATCCATACTGTTCCCGACCAAAGCCATGATATATTTTGTTGATCACATCTCTTTCATTAGAGAGGGCCTTTTGTAACATTTTGGATGTTCAGAAAGGGAACGCATCATTTGAACATATTTTGTATCCAAGTTGAGGATCTGTATTACTATTAGGATGTCACATATGAATAGGAAGGTTTTTAAACATAGCTACTGCGCTGCCTCCAGGGGATTGCCAAGCCAAGTAGTCACAACGATATCCATACTGTTTCTGGCCAAAACCATGACCAATTGTTTTTGATCACATCTCTTTCATTAGAGAGAGCCTTTTGTAACATTTTGGGTGCTCAGAAAGGGAATTCATCATTTGAACATATTTTCAATCCATGTTGGGGATCTGTAGTACTCTTGGGAAGTCACCTATGAATAGGCTGAAAAAGAATGTTAGGGATGTTTTTAAACATAGCTATTGAGCTGCTTCCAGGGCGTTGCTAAGCCACAACGATATCCAAACTGTTTCCGGCCAAAGCCATGACCATTTTTTTGATTACATCTCTTTCATTAGGGAGCATTTTGTAACATTTTGGATGTTCAGGAAGGGAACGCATCATTTGAACATATTTTCAATCCATGTTGGGGATCTGTAGTACTCTTGGGAAGTCACCTATGAATAGGAAGTTTTTTAAACATAGCTACTGAGCTGCCTCCAGGGGATTGCCAAGCCAAGAAGCCACAACGATATCCATACTGTTTCCGGCCAAAACCATGACCAATTTTTTTTGATCACATCTCTTTCATTAGAGAGAGCCTTTTGCAACATTTTGGGTGCTCAGAAAGGGAATTCATCATTTGAACATATGTTCAATCCATGTTGGGGATCTTTAGTACTCTTGGGAAGTCACCTATGAATAGGTTGAAAAAGAATGTTAGGGATTATTTTAAACATAGCTACTGAGCTGCCTCCAGGGGATTGCCAAGCCAAGAAGCCACAACGATATCCATACTGTTTCCGACCAAAACCATGATCAATTTTTTTTGGTTACATCTCTTTCATTAGAGAGAGCCTTTTGTAACATTTTGGGTGCTCAGAAAGGGAATGCATCATTTGAACATATTTTCAACCCATGTTAGGGATCTGGAGTCTATTGGGAAGTCACCTGTGAATAGGTTGAAAAAAAATTAGGGATGTTTTTTAAACATGGCTACTGAGCTTCCTCCAGGGCATAGCCAAGCCAAGGAACCACAAGGATATCCATACTGTTTCCGACCAAAACCATGACCAATTTTCAAAGGTTACATCTCTTCCATTAGAGAGAGCATTTTGTAACATTTTGGATGTTCAGAAAGGGAACGCATCATTTGAACATATTTTCAATCCATGTTGGGGATCTGTAGTACTCTTGGGAAGTCACCTATGAATAGGTTGAAAAAGAATGTTAGGGATGATTTGAAACATGGCTACTGAGCTGCCTCCAGGGGATTGCCAAGCCAAGAAGCCACAACGATATCCATACTGTTTCCGACCAAAACCATGATCAATTTTTTTTGGTTACATCTCTTTCATTAGAGAGAGCCTTTTGTAACATTTTGGGTGCTCAGAAAGGGAATGCATCATTTGAACATATTTTCAATCCATGTTAGGGATCTGGAGTCTATTGGAAAGTCACCTGTGAATAGGCTGAAAAAAAATTAGGGATGTTTTTTAAACATGGCTACTGAGCTGCCTCCAGGGCATAGCCAAGCCAAGGAACCACAAGGATATCCATACTGTTTCCGACCAAAACCATGACCAATTTTCAAAGGTTACATCTCTTCCATTAGAGAGAGCATTCTGTAACGTTTTGGATGTTCAGAAAGGGAGCGCATCATTTGAACATATTTGGAATCCATGTTGGGGATCTGTAGTACTCTTAGGAAGTCACCCATGAATAGGAGTTGTTTGCCCCCAGGGGATTGCAAAGCCAAGGAACAGGATCGCTATCATAAAGGTCCAAGCTGTCTTGTTCAGCTGGCATGTGCACAAGAAAGCGCTTTTGGTCCTCACACCTTTCCCAACCTGATAGCATGTCCAGTTCCTCCAAGATTTCGCAAGGGAGTATTCTTTTCCAGTTCGCCCTGTGCCCCTGCTCTCTCACGAAACTAGAGTTTTGACCAAAGACGTGGATGAGTGAGGCATAGTCTTCAAGTTCCTTCTTCACTTTGATTGGGTGCATAGCAGGG